TATATAAAGATATTAAAGCGAAATTAGAGAAAAAAGATAGGTTTTCTTTTTTATTTAATGTATTTTATTGTTTTGGAAGTTCATGTATCAGTTCAAATGGCAATGAGCCTATAATTATAATGGGTGATTTAAACGCTTCGGGTTCTTATTTTAATAAGACAAAGCAAACTGAACTGGACAAAATATTACGGGAATAATTATGTCCTTTGTATTATTTTAATTAACGAATTGATTTATTAAATTTTGATAATCTTCATTAGCCATAATTTTATTCTCTTGAAATTTTATGGTATATGCTTGGGTAGTTAGCTATTTTGTAACTCATCTGTAAAGTGTATATTAAAGTCATCCTCCTCTATAATCGCAAAAGATATGATTATAAATTTTAATAGTAATGTGATAATATAAAGTTTATTTAATAAATAATTTACTGTAGCAGTAGTTTTTCGCTTATAAAGATTGTGTGATTATATAGGAGGTGACTGTGGAGGAGGACGACTGTACTTTAATATTTTTATGTAGCAAAGAAGTAATCATTGCAATATATTTGTTTACCACGTATCATCAAAAAAATTCTTTCTTTTTTTTATCACTTCTGGTTGTTATTTAATTTTAACACGAAATGTTGGACATTTTTTTTTTGTTTTTTGAACTGCATTATATTACAAATTGTTAATTGAAATTGAAACAAATATCAATAAGAAAAATGCTTCATACCCAATTACAAAAGCAATTGTAACAAATGTATGACCACATAAAATGGTACAAGGATTTTACATGTATTAAAGGCATATAATACACTTTAACTATTTAAATAAAATTACTTAAATGAAATTTTAATTTGACAAGTAAATTAGGGATCATAAAATCTACGATTAATAATACCTTTTATTTTTAGGTAGTTCTAATTGTCACATATTTAAAAATACAACAATTAAATTAAATTTATTATTTTATTTTCTTGTATCGTGCAATTTCTGATTATTAAAAAAATCTGTTTAATATAGTTCGCTCAATAAAAATGTATCAAAGCAATAACATAATTCCAGTAAACCTAAAAAAACTCATCATAACCAAATTCAATAATAAAAAATATGAAGATGTGTTAGAAGATATTAAATTATTACAGGAAAAAAATTATGACATCTCAGAAATTAAATACAAACACAAAGAATCTTTAAAAAATTTGATGTATCAAAATTATGATTTGTTCCAAATACCTGATTTCTTGTATTATTATGATACGTTTTTAAAAAATGGGTTCAAAATAGACCTAAATCACAGAGAATATAATTTTTTAACTCTCAGAGACATGATAGCAATCTCCCATGATTTCGCTTCGAAATCATCTGGATACATATTCCAAACAGATAATGAAGACAATTTAGAAGGTGAAAAATTAAAAATAAGATATAGTCACATATTCAAAAAAATAATGTCTATCTGATTATATAAGAATTAGAGATGTGAACTTTAAACTTAATGTAAAACTTTATTAACTGTAGTTTTTAATTAAAGTCCAGAATCAAATTATATTGGTACCTTTCAATTTGTTTTATTGAAATGATTCAAATTATATATGATTCCAATTACATTTTGATTCACGTATTATTCATGTGTACTAATGTCAAATGACTGACTCTAGCGGGTATAATGAGCTAATATTTGTCAGTATAAAAATAATTCGAACATTTGATTTTGAATTGCAAAGCATTTCGAAAAATTAATAATTTAGAAATTCCTAAATAGTGATTTGAATACGTAATTTTATTAAATTTAATTATTAAGACTTTCTCGTAATGAAAAATTGGATACTTTTTAATTTGTCATAAGTAGTGATCCCTATTGAAGAAAATATATATTGTTAATTAGGATCAACAATAAGCTATTTGTAAATTTTACTTTTTTTAATTAGTCAATAAATTATATATATAAATAGTTGTCTTAAATATATATATCGATATATAATTGACTTAAAATTTATTAATAAAATTATTTTTAATATTCCACTCTCAAAAATCGCAGGAACATCAAACATGCAATTACATTCTGATGAAACATTTTTTAATTGGGTCCGTTATGTATAAAAATATTCTTAATTTTAAGATATTTTAAATTTAAACCATATATTAAGTTTTTTTTGCAACTAGGCTCAAGAAGTTTTTAATGTTGTCGATGGCCTTACCCCAGAAAAAGCAAACCTAATTGCTGAAAAAATGTAAGATTAACACAGATTGCATTATAATTTTTATTGACGCTAATTCAATTTTTTATTAGTAAATTAGAAAATGTTTTTGAAACCAGAAAATGCATGAATAAACCTTTAACAAAAATTGAGATGCAATGGTTATGTATTATAATCGGAAGACATTTAAAATTTAACATTAATAAAATTTATTTTAGAGTATTAGAAGATCCTTATTTTATATTTAAGGTTCTTTATTACTTAGCAATAACTATAGTGGCTGTCTTAGAAGATTCCTCATATTTAGATATAGACAAAGTTGAAAAAGAATTAATTAAAGAAGTAGAAACTCTTCCTGAAGATGTTTCAGTAATTGATCACTCTAAAGCTTCTATTGATAAAAGCATTTTTGTCAAAGATAATATTGTTACTTTTGACCAATTTATAAGATATCGAATTGAAAGTTTAGAACAATTCATTAATTGTTTTGAAAATCAAGAAAAAATACCTATTTCTAGGCTTAGAGAAGAACAGAATAATTATCAAAGTCATATAAAATTTTTAGAAAACCAAATAAAAGATTTGGAAGCAAGGTATTTAGGGTATTTAGCTTACTCTTAGTTTTTGAAATTAACCGAAATAACAATTTTCGATACGTTAGACAATTTATTACTTGTTCGGAAAATCACAAAAAAATTCCTATCTCGAACCAAAATAAATTTCAAAATCACATAACATTTTTAGAAAATAATATAAAAGATTTGAAGGCAAGATATTTTGGTATTTCTCTGTATTTTTTAAATTAACAAAAATACTAAATTCCCGATACGTTAGGAATCATGAAAAAGAAATTAATTTGGATGAAAAAATTAATATTAAGATAAAAGAACTAATTCAATTAGATAATAAAAAAGATAAGAAGACAAAAGAACTAATTCAATTAGAAAATAAAAAAGATAAGAAGACAAAAGAACTAATTCAACTAAATATTGAAATAGGCAATAAAAAAAAAGAACTAATTGAATTAAACGAAGAATTCGATCTAACAAAAAAAAATTTGAAGATTAGTAAATCGGCAATGGTATATAATTCTATAAATTATAATCTTTTTATACAAGTTGACTTTACTCTACAAATTATTTTTAGAAAATAAATGAGTATCATGTTGAAAATGACATTATTAGAGGTTTGTTAATCTGTTTATTGTTAATAAAATCTAAGAATTAATTTAATATTCACAAACATCATTTTTCTTAAAGAATCTACAGAAAATTATGATTTTGAATTAGCAGTCAAAGAAATCCGAAATGAAATTGACATAAAAATCGATTCATTGAATCAAAAAATACAGGTGAATGTTTTAGAAATGAAAAAAATTATAAATGATCAGAACACTAGATGGTTTAAAGAATTTTATAAAGACTTTAATCTACTGAACAAGAAAGTTCAAAACATTGATCTAGAAATTCACAAAATAAAAAATCAACAAAAATACATAATATTAACACTAATAGGTTTGTACTTTGACTTATATCTTCAAATTTAACCTTATGGCAAATACTAACAAAAAAATTGTAAAAAAAAGAAATAATTTTAAATAGCTTATATGATCGCACGTCCTAATTCCTTAAAAATAAAATTTTTTAGTTTCTCAGTATGGAGAGCTTTAATTTATTAGGTTAATTTCATATTGTTTTTTTTTTTTTTTTATTAAATAGGTTTGTTATTAATTAAATTTAAACAGTACAATTACATATTAAAATAATTTCAATTTTATTTTTACAAATGCAGTATTAAATAACTTATTTATAAATTTTAACAATACTGCTATTCAAAAAAATAACTTTTTTTAAAAAAATTAGGGTTCTGCAAGCGCAGATATGGTATCTATAAAACATAGTGTTCAGCACCTGCAGAACCCTAGTTTTAACATGATGAATTAAAAAAAATTCAGATTGTAATATTAATCTTCATAATCAGATCCTTAAAAAATCGCTTCATGCCTTTTTTTTTCTAACATACTATAGCTTGAAATTTCATATTTATATTCGACAAGACCTTAAATTTAAAGATCCAAAATAGGCATAAATTTACTAGTAAAAATACCCATTGTAAAAAAAATATAGAAAAAAAAAAGTCAAAACCTAGAAGAATTAATATTAGAAAAGTTAAACAGAGGAAATGATATTTCTATGATATAAAACTGTTCTAAAACTACTCATCTTATTCTCAAGAACCATTGCATTATTAAAATTTAACAACCATTTTTGTTTTATTAATAAAAGTTATAGACAAAATTTTAGATTCTTAGTACTTGGAGAACTTTAATTCATTAGGTTAAATTAATTTCAGTTTTGTTTTTACAAATGCAGTATTGGATAACTCATTTATAAATTTTAAACATACTGCTGTTCAAAATTTTACCTTTTTTTTTTTTTTTTTTAAACTAGGGCTCTGCAAGTGCCGGACTAGTAAAAATGCCCATGCGTAAAATTTATTTAGAAAAAGAATGCCAAAACTAGAAGAATTAATACAGAGAAAATGATATTTTCTATAGTACAAAACTACTCTCAAGAACTATAATCCCATCATCTCATGATTAAATATTAAATATAATTCACCATTAAATTTATATCACTAAATGATAATTCAATTATTTTTGAATCCTCGTTTCTAACTATAAAATTTGATTTCACCTTCGCTAAAATGTTTGGAATTTCATTATGGATTTATTACAGACGGGTAATCCATTTAAGTTTTCGGCCCAAATTAAACCTAATTTGGGCTAAAATCAAATAACAGTTCACCCATCTAGAGATGTGATCCGTTATCCGTTTTCCTATTTAAAAATTATGGATATCCAGATATCCGAATTTTTTTTATAATAATTTATTATAAAATTGAATTAATGGATATCCGGAACGCATATCTACACTCATCTAAGAAGCGACCTGGAGCAACCCAGGGGTTATAAAAAAAATATTTGCTCCATATTACTCATATGGCAACCTCCAGGTCACTCCATATGGAGCAACCCAGGCTATAAGAAATATTTTTGCTTCAAGTTATTATATAATTCTTTAAATTCTCTACACTTCAACCTTAAACTGGCTAATTTCACGAAAAAGTGATCATATTTGCGAAAAAACAAATCTTAAGAAAATGTAAAAAAAAAAAAAAAAATTTGAATATAAAGTTTAAAAAGTAATCTTTAATAATGAGAAATAAACCTTCTCAACATGGTTAATAACAAGAATTGAAAAAATTTTTAATAAATCATCTAACGCAATAAATATAATGAATAAAGTAGACGATTTAAAGCTAAAGAGCAAAGATAACTTTCTTTATAAATTTATGAACTTCAAATTAAAGGATATAATTGTTCATTGACGCGCTGAACTTCTGAAATAACATTACTACCACCGATAATAAGCTCAGCCGCCTTGTTTGCTAATTCATGATATGGTCCTGGATCATTTAATTGTTTCATAACCACTTCCAGATTAGTTGAGATTTCATTCAGATTATTTACTGTTGCAACAGGCAAATTATTTACACTTTCTTTTAATGAATTCAAATCCTTTGCAAATATATCATAACTTCCAATAATCTTATTTTTGATTAAATTTTCAAAATCATAAACCTTAGTAGGTTTATCAATAAATAATCTTAATTTGTCCGGTTCATTGGATTTTTCTAGTAACTCATCAATTTTTGTAATTTCATCCTTGTAATTATCTTGATTAAGCTTTTGCTTGTAATCTAGCAAGTTTTTATAACACTCTTCAAGAAATTCATGTGCTTTTTGATTAATTAAATTTGCATGTCTGGCTATTATTTCTGGCTTTAATAATTGCATTTCACAATTATTGAATTCTTGTTCAAAAGCACTTATCAAATTATTGAGAACATTAAAGTGATTTTTGGTGTAATTAATTTTATCCAATGTGCTTAATTCTCACAAATAATTACATCCTTTCACAATTTCAAGATTAATAATTGCATAAAATTAGGAAAGCCATTTTATGTTGTCTTTAGCAATGTCGGTATCAAAAAAATTTTTGGTATTTTCAAATAAACCTTGTTGGTCGTAAATTTTATATATCTAATCATTCTTCAAATAATTATATATCTTAACGTTTAATTTACTTATTTTTGCCTTCAAAATATTAAATGCACTAGTTTGTTTTGTTTCATTTAAAATTGAACCAACAAACAGTAATATTTTATCAATTTCTCCCTTAAATTGATTATAAACGAATTTATCTTTTTCAAGAAGTTTTATCCATTCTGAATAACCCAGTAATGTTTTTCTATCGCCTTGATTGGTCCTTAGGCTCGATCGTGCCTTTATCTCAGTTCTGATAGAACCTATTGCATAAGGTTTAATATCATTATTTGAAGTTTCCATATCCACATCCACATCCACATCAACTTCTTTTTCTTCAAATTCGTCATTCTCTCCATTTTCAATTTTATTATTTTCTCCAAATTCAAATTCATTCATTTTATTATCGCTGTCCACATTATATACATTTTCATACCTATCATTATAATTATATTCGACGATTTCATCCTTTTCATATAAACTAAGTTGTCTAAACTGGTCAACGAAAGTGAAATTTTTGGGTGTCGTTTTTGGATTCATCATATTATAATCTTCTTCCTCATAAAAATAATAACGTAAGGAAGTGCTTCTAAGAAGGTAAGATAAATCTGTAATTTCTAGGTTTAATTTTACTGCATAGTCAACTAATCCATTCATAATCTTTGGACCGCAGTTTTTATTTTTTTCTTCTAATGCCAATTTCAACCCTTCATTTTCTTTTAGTACATTTAATGTTTTTTCGAAATTATCCTCATTCAAACTTAACCATTCTTTATCGCCACCTAAAGGATTGCCCATTAAAAAAACTAGACCAAAAGTAATGCAATATAAGAATAAATTTAATGATGCTTTTAGATAATCTTGAACTCTTCGTGTTGCATTTTTTAGAGCAATTATTTCAGACAAAGAACCTTGTTTATTTAGAATTTTAAATGCTAATAAATTAACTATATCTTTGACTGATTTAAATACAGACTTTATTTCATTTCCTTGTGATTTAAATTCTTTTAAAACTTTATCTATGTTATTGGATTCATTATCATTATTAAGTATATCAATTATGTCTTCAAACTTCAGTTCTTCTGTATTATAAATATTAGATTCAGTAGTTGAAGTTTGCTTTTTTTTTCACTTTTTTAGACGTGGATTTTGATCACAATATTTCAAGTATAAAGCCGCAAAAAGCAATTGTTTTGGTATGTCAAGAATTTCTTGGTTAAGCATGCTATCAGAAAATCTCATTTCTATTAAATGCAATATATTAAGTAGTTTATTGATGATACCGTCTCCTGTTTGTGAATTTTCACTAATTCATTGAATTGCATTTTTTTCGCTATAATAATCAGATGGATTTTTCCATGTTGACAAGACGTAATCAATATAACTATTAGATGTATCAATCGCAGAGATAATTATTTGAACTGTTTTTGGCTGATCTTTCAATATAAGGTCATAGACTTTTTTTTGATCTTTCTTGTCAACTTTTTTACTTGCAACATTTTTTTCATTAAATTTTAATTCGACAGTGTCGGAAGCTTTGTCAGGAAAGTAAAGTTTAAGTTTTTTTTTTTATTTTTAGGAATCCAGCGTCAATATAAGCATTATAAACTATTCTTAAAGGCTCACATAAATAATTTAAATTAATATCATCTCTTGAATTAAAAGTTTCAATAATAAAATTAAATTTTTTGCTTAATTCATTAAACATTTTTCAGCCACTTTTTGAAAATTTATCAATAGTGTCTTCTTCAGGAATTTTTGTATAAAAAGACGTTGGAGGATTGCAAATAATATTTTCCTTGTCTCCAAAATTATAATCAGTCCTTTTTGTTTTTTTCTTTTTCTTTCTGCGCTTAGCTTTAGTCTGTTCTTTGTCATAATTGTCATAAAAATTACCCAATGCTTCAATTACTGACGTGAAAAATTTGTTTTTGTCTTCCTTTTTTCTTTCATCATCATCTGATAAATCAGTGTCATTTTCATCTGATGAATCCTCTTCATTTTCATCACTCTGTATATTATCATTTTCATGATGTTCTTTTTTTATAAACACATGCGGTTTCATTTCAATATCTGTCTTTTACTTAATTTGTTGTTTGAATTTCTACAGTTTTTGTCCACCAAATTTAAACTATACGTATATTTATATAGATTTTTAATAAGTTATTTTTCATAAATTTCGATTAAATTTAAATAATAATACATAATAAATCAATTGAAATTTACATTATTTTCTAATTTAAAGGTTTTCATTTATTTAAAGTATTGGAATTATTAATGATAAAAATTTTAGTGTCAGCTTATAAAATTTTAATTTTAAAAATTTAATTGTAAATTAAAGGATTCCATGTTATACGTTTATAGACAATTTAAATT